GTAACACCCCCCCCCCCCCATGTCCAATTGACTGAAGCCGGCAAAACAATGAGGCCACTATAGGACTGTGCGCGCAAGCAGACCGATGCCAACGCCACGAATTTGAGAAGGTAACAAACGATTTCGCTTCATGATCAAACGCATTTAAGTGAACTATTCACGAAAATAGGTAGGAAATGGTACAGTTAAAGAAACTACTTTTTCCCTCTCGTTTCCGTTTGTTTTCAACCACACTTTCGTACTATTGTTGCTTGCCATTATCCTACCAGCGCCAGTCATGTCAATGGGATCTAACGCACTTTGGTACATGGATCATGGTTGTTTAAGATAAGGTAACTGAACTGAATTGACCCAGATAATGAAGGTTACAAAGTGACGGTGATGGGGAACCGTGCGTTAAACCTAAATACTCCGAGCAAGTTTTGAGGTGCGAAGCGCCTACATGTTGTCAACAATATACGACCACAAGCAGATGATGATGGCCTGATTTGAGGAATATCGTGAATCAACAGAGAAACATAGCCACAATCAAGCATATAGAAAATCTCCTTTTATTCTGGAAATGTCCGAAACTTAGATAATAGTTGTGTTGAGATAAAGCGGAATCGGCGAGACAGTTTGATTGCAACTTCCTCCATCTCAAATCGTGGTCAAAGTTATCACAAAAGACAACAAAACCAACATTTTAAACCGTGTCCGATTAAAGGATAATAGCAGATCCGCCGCCGGTGACAGATGCGAGCTGCGTGATGTAACGTTTCTACTAGGCACATGGTTGGTCCCTTGGAGCACATCATTGAAGGAAAAATGGATTAACAGTGTCTAGTTTAGTCGCCATACCCTTCGCTTTTTATTGCGAAATCAAGTATTTTTCCTCGTGCTCTGCACCATCCGGCATTCGGCAAACCGCAAGCCAAGATCCACTTGGATCTGTAAGTGGCCCGCATAAACCGCACTGATAATGTCGTATAGCCTGAGGATGAAACGTCTGCAGCCAAATCAGTCAGTTGGGAGAACACCAGCATACCCTCATGATTCTAATCATCTCGTACTCGCCTATACATAAGGAAGCCCCACGGCCCTAATTGTACACACGTCCTTTGCGAAGAGTGCTGGTAGCTTCAAGACTGCGGTCGGCGGCAAGCACTAGAAACAGCGCTCAGTACTATTCCGTGCAATCGAACAAGCTGTACACAGACGACTTCTAACGGGAATACAATCAAATAGCAATGATAGGCTCGGAGCAGAAAATTGCGGCCGTTGCTGTTCATGTTGGCCAGCGTAATCAGGACTAGCAGGCAAGAGGCCTCTCTCGGGATCAACTGGTCGCTGATCAGCAACCTTTACACGTCTGAGCAATAATGATTTTGTACAGCAGTATGAGTAAGCAGCTCGATCGATGCACAGAGACCAATTCTAATCACCCAAAGGAGTATAAAGTTCCATCGAAATAGTGTGTTGGTAGGAAATTGATTTTGATTGCGGCCCGGACTGTTTTTGATTCTCGGGGGGGGGCCTTACACGACAAAAACGACACTCCAGCTTGCCTTGTGATGGCTGCATCAACATCTCCGGATACACATGCAGCCAATAATAAGGAGAAGACGAGGTTGGCACAGTTAGTACATCCACTTGATAGTCGTGGACTCTAGTTTCAGTAGCGCATCACATGTCTAGTTTCAGATGTCTAATATGCATGTAAGCGCTGCTCATTCAACTAGCAGTTATATATTACGAACATTAGACACTACCAAATAAAGCAGATGATGTCACCGGATAGGGAGCATATGTGGAAAGAAAGCTGAAACAGGTAGAATTTTATCAATATTTCAGCTACTATTGCGACAAGTGTCTGGTAAGGTTCGCTAGTGAAACATAGATTAGAAGTGTACACTCAGGAAGAAGTTCCTCCTATAATAGACACTCAAGGAGCATTATCAGTTGAAGTAACTGCTCCGTCTAATATTTGTTCGTTATTCTCTGCCTTTCTGTTTACGTGTTTATCTGTACTTTTTTTAGAACAAAATCACTCCTTGCCTTATAAATATTACAACGACGCTAATAATTCGTTCTCCTAACTTGTCACCATTTATCTTGATTCCGTTGACGCTTGCATTGCATATCATCAGCCCAGTGTGCCCTATACCACCGTCGCAACGATCCTTTCATTTTGTGATTGGCTTATCGCGATATCCACTCAATGACTAGAGATACTCACGTTGTCAGCATTGTTCTTCGCGTTCTATTTGGGGACAGTCTACAGGACAACGCTTTATTGAGCACAGGCAGATGTGCTGTCTGAATTTGAGCCTTTCGTAGAAGTTAATATAAACCATCGGAGGACGAGGTGAATTTTGAGTATTTTAGTGTATACCTCAACAGACCGGAACTTCGGAGCCATTCAAAGACAAATTCAAGCATAATCCTCTTTTATTTCTATGGTGAATAGTGCGGACTTACTATGCTTCAGTGAGTTGTTTGTTGGACCGAAAAACGATTGTGAGACCATCTTGGGGTTGATGTCGGCCAGCTAGGCAACGGTGACAAGATTCACTAATTAGGTACCTACCACGTTTGTTAGTTTGGTAGCACCGTTTCCGCCTAAGTTGGTATACACTAAACGAAAAGAATTCCTGAACTTGTATGTTGTATATGGTGCTCATTAGCGTATATTTCCGGTCGATTCAAAGCACACACCCAGACGTCAACATCATGTACAACTGACTAACATATAACTTATTTCCGCAACCTAAGTGGAGTGTCAAATCCCGAATTTTCTGTTGTAAGCTGGGCTAACAAAGGATATCTAAAGGAATCCACTCGTCATCTGTCGTTTCTGGGTGAGATCAGTACACAAACTTCGAGTAAGTTTGTAAGTTTAATTGTATGTCTGCACAGTGGTATGAGGGCGAAAGTGCAGCTCAGTGGATAAACCACTTATGAGTTTGCTGTTTTCTTTGCTGGGAAGCAAAGCTGTGTTTTAGCCCCTGCCGTTTAACATTTACCTTTATGCAATGATGCCTTGTGCTTTTGATGCTGCCCGTGATTGCGCTGTATCTGTGAAGAACCGTATTGATGGTGGGCTGCTGAACATCCGTCGTATCGGGGTGAGAACCTTAGTGTATGAGACAACCATACGTAGGTTGCTGTTCGCCGACGACTGAGCGTCGTTTGAACACAACAGCGCATTACGACAGATCTCGTTTCGACAGCGACCTAGATCTTGTTCATCATCGAGACAAAGGAAATTGTTTGTAATTTTCAGTCTTCACCAGAATCGGGGTCCTTGCGTCTGCCCCAAATGCAGATCGGTACCGACGTTTTGGAAACCACTGCCAGATTTGCTACCTGCGGAGCCTACTGTTTACCGACCTCCAGATGATGAGCGAGCTGAGACTGTGCGTATCGAAGGCATGTGCCACACTTAGAAAGCCGGAGAGCCATATGTGGGACGGTCATCAGCTGACTATCGGGAGGAAGCTGAATGGCATACAAGTCGATGGCCCAAACACCGCCTTGTGTATGTCTAATACGACCAGAAGCCTAAAGGATCCCAAGCCTGCCTTGTATTCAGAGGCCCTGGATTCCAACTTGCGTAAGGACCGGGCGACCCTCGTATTATCCTTAGCCCGCGTGAGACTGGTGGTGATTGCACAGCATCGAAGCGTCGGTACTGCATACCAGCGTACTGTTGATGTCTTTTGCTTATGCCTATGTAAGTAGGGTACTCATAAGTTCCCAATTAGACAGAATTGATGCAATGCCTGTTGAGGGAGTGCATGCCGGCTCCGTTGATGAACCGTGCTTTCCTTCCTTCCTTCTGGATTACACCGGGCATAGGGTTTGCGGATGCAGTTGTGGATGGTGCAGCACAAAGCACTCGTAAAGTCCAAAAGAACTATGATTTCATTTACCAGATCGATTATTCCATCTTGATGACTCAGTGATCCTATTCCCATCTCTTTCCACCCTACGAGCTAATAGCATGCTTTTCATGCTTTAGACCATTACATGCGCAAAGATGTATCGTTTTACATTTATTTCAACTGCATGCACTTTTCTCAAGGTCACGCTTCCACCATCTGTGTTTAGCCCTACTGTCACTGTTATTTGTTTCCGCTACCGTGGCAAACCTAGTCGTGAGTCCTATCTTGTATATTATTCTGGCCTTTAGAATCACCATTAAAGGATAATACAAATTCTTCTGTCCCGACCGTTTTCTGTCCAGAACGTGTGTATAGTCTAGGTTTATAGCTCTAAATAGCACTACTTATATACAATACGTACCAGGTAACTCGGTTTAGGTGATTCCGTCTCCACACCATACATGGCCCCTATGTAGGTGCAGGCGTCCTTGCAGGTTACGCGAGTGAAACTGACGAGCTGCCAGCTAATCAGAGCGGCGAGCGCAAGTTGATCAGATGAAGATTGAGGAATTGGGTTGCTTTTGGTCCCGGACAAAGGTAAATGGGTTTCCCCCACACGACACTGATCCTGAGCAAATGGCGCATGGTGCGATGGTGGCTGATCGACCGAGCAAGCGGAACACATGGAGCCGGCAGGTGGAACGCCAAGCAGCGCCGCCAGTAGAAGCTGATTACATTCGCAAGGACTGAGTAATCAGCCCAAAACTGAGTTTGGTATTGTGAACAAAGTATAAATTTGTTCTAGTGGTCCAAACAACTGCGAAAGGCTGATGAGCAGGAGCCAATGAACTCAGGAAGATGTTTAGCAAGAAGCAGCCACTGAAAGTGCGCTTCAGTAAAGCAGCGATACAAAAGTATATGCTATATAGGAAGAGTGTACTTTAGTATCCAACTTCTAGATCGCTGCGCAGTCTTCGTTTTGTTACTCAAACGGTTGCCTCGACAATGGGAAAACAAGCCAAAAGCTAAAAAGAAACATTGAATTTCCAGATTACGGGTAGACATTACGTTACTCTTTATGGGTCAATGAAGTTACGTGGAAGACATACACCAGAGAAAAACGTACTGACTCACTTGGGCAACCACACGAAGGATAGTTCCTTCTTGGAAGAAATCTGGCTTTTTTGCATCTATCACGATGTAATCAAAGTAGGAGGTCCACTTTCGGATGGTGCCCTGAAAAACGGTGGTAAGAAGTCACGCTTACAAGATTGCAAGTAGTGTCTGATTTGCCTCACCGATGCTCACCCAACTATTCCTAACAAGTAATGTGAAGATCGGAGGTTATGATATGACTGTGACTGATAGAACAACGTCGATAAGGCGAACGCGATAAAGTGTGGTGCATAAAAGACGAAGTAGGAACAAACAGCCAAACGGTATACGACAGGACGGACATATACATACACACGCAGACTAAAAAAGAGCGGAACGGAAAGGTCAAGAAAATGGAGTTTCCTGCAGTTTTGTGTAAGGTCGCGAGATGAGATACAGCAATAATGTTCGGAAGAAATCGGTGGGAATGATAAGGCAGCTGAAAAAGATAATTGTACACATACGACTTACGTCCGGTCTTGGAATCTCCAGAATATGGGTCATGATGCCCTGGAAAGTGAAAAATAGGTGCACTTCTGAAGGAAACATCAAAACCCACTATTTGACAGAACAATGTCGAGAGTCAAGTGCGCCCACGTGAACGATCAGTGGAGTTGGAACTAAAAACGAGCATTACTACAAGAAAATGCGTGAGTATAGCAAAAACGCCAATGGATAATGCAGACAGTCATATTGTTTTGAAGACGGGTGAGCGACGTAACGATCACTGGAAAATTAACACTACGCCACAGTCAAGATACCTGTAGGTAAAGATTGGTCAACCATAAGAAAGAAGTTGGACGAGCCAGTAAGGTTCGAAAAACGTTAAGTTCATCCACAGAAAAAAAGCGAAAATATAAAATCGAATTTATGGTAAATATACCCATATATATATATATGTATATATATATATATGGCCATAACAACTTCCAGTGGCATACCTGAGGCAATTGCATGAGTGTACGCTGCTGGAAAGTTGCAGTCTCGTGACAACTGTGTACATGGCCCCACCACTGAACATCGCAAGTGATGGTGGTGTCGAGCAATAGGTAGGTTGACATGCCCCCAACCAAACAATACAATAGTAGGAACCAATTATATGAAGCGTCAAGAATAAATATCTATGTAGTAGTACGTCCTAAGAGGTACCGCGACGCGATACATCATAAGCTAAAATGAAGCAGCAGTATCGGATCTGAGGGTAAAATTCAGTAGCTACAATGAGTTGACTTTGGTCGATGTGTGAATACGGCGCCAATCCCATCACACCAGCAAACCGAGTAAAGAAAAAGTAAATCAGAAAAATAATAAGACGACTAAACAAGAGCGTCTACAGAGTTGAAGTAACCGTCCGGAAGCCAACTCAAGGCCACTAATCTAGGTAAAATGGGACCAATACAAACAAGGAGATCCTAGCTTCACAGGAGCTACCATTCGCCTAGTAAGTGGAAGCACAAATGTCAAATCGAGAGGGCGCGATGCGAATTCAGTGACAGTTATCAAAGGTAAAATGAATATCAGGTCTAAATTATTATATTAAGCCCTTGACTAGTTCAAATCAGTTGTTTAATTGTGAACTAAGCGCCGGAAGGCGGTGAATTCAGTTGGTATGATTTGTACCGTCAAAGTAGGGAAGAAAACAAATGATGAGGAAAGTATGTAGAAAGTGAAAAATCACAAACGAAATTCCAAGGAAAATAGAATGCGTTTACATTAAGATACAAAGAGCAGTGTGTAAGGGTACTCTTGACTTCAAGATTGCGCCATGTCGGAATAATAGTAGTAATAATAATAATACGTATATTTCCCTGGATTGTGAACAGATCATGGGTACAATAATTATCATGATCATACCTGAGAGAGATGTATTCTGGGGTGTATGATATCAAAATAATTTGGAATCATATAACTTTTGTTGTTGTTGAGTTTCGTGTACCACCTTTACTCATTGATTATATATTCCTCAGTTCCTCCTGGAAGAACTGGTGTGGTGATGTACCCAATGGAAACATGGTCATTATCAAGTTCTGGTCCAGGACTTTACAAAGTTGAATGTGGAATGTTCTTGCATTTATGCAAGACCTGATTGTGGCTGATAGGCTATTCCACACGACAGCGTATCTGACGAGGAAGAAGTTGGATCGGATAGCTATGCTGGTTCTTGGCACAGTTAATGTACAGGTCTCGTTGCGTATATTCCGAGTGGAGGTATGTTGCGCTTTAAGTGTACATAGATTGGAGTATGTCTTTTGGTTGATGAGATTGTTTCTCAGTATCAGGTCATGTTTGTCGTCGCAGGCAAAGGGACTCGAGCTTAATCTGCTGGCAACGCTCCTGATAACTCAGGGTAGTTGATTTACTGAACAAACGTTTGCTGGTTTTCCAAAGCTTACCTGTCACCCATACGCATGTTCCCATAGATGATACCGCAGGATGGGATGATGTTGCACAGATGATGCTGCAAGGATAGGGAGTATTTTGAAAAGCTCGTCTGGCAGGGGTTGTATAGATTTTATGGCATATGTTATCTATAGATCGTTTGGCGCTTGCAATTTGATACTCAGCTTGCTCAGAGAAAATAAAGTTAGGAAAGTATCGTATGCTTAGATCAGACTTGGATAGTCTCACACAGATACGTTCACTGTTCAGTTTAACTGAGTCTCCAGGGATTAAACCTCCGTGTGACATAATGCATGATTTACTAGCAGATAAAGGTAACATCATGTGTCGCACCATTTCTCAAGCGAATCGAGGTCTTCATGAACGAGAGACATTGCGCTACTGAGTTCATCTCGTCGAAATTTATAAACAATCGTGTCATCGGAAAACAAAAATGGCATGCCATGTTTTAGGAACACCGCGATATAGTTAATAAAAGTAGAAAAGGGGAAGGACCAAGTACACCTTTGGATAACACCACTAGTGATGGGACGTTGTGAGAAGTTATGATTACCAAGAGTGACTATCTGCTAACGCCCATATAAGTATGATGTCAACCAACCAAATAACAATGAACAATGATGTATCACGGGATAAAAGCAAGTGCTTGACACGTCCCGTAGGATGGTTGCGGTGAATATGATGCAAGTAAAATATGTCTGGGTCATCTATCGAACGTTTGCCGAGATGAATACTTTGATAATTAACATCAGTGTGAAATGAAAAAAATTATCGAGCGTAAACGTTCAGAAAGCAACTGGGGTGCAGTGATTGTTGAGGTAAGGAGTGAGAAAAGTAAAATATGGTCGCTCACTTAGGTCCATTTGATACACAAATCCTGTTGAGAACATGCTTGACGTAATCAACAATAGAGGAGCTTAGGTAACAAAATGTTGGGAGCTAAGAGCAACATCTAGTCATTTTTTGAAAACATCCAAGGTAGGAGAGGATACAACTGAGTCTGGGAGTGTGTTCCAGGGTTTGCAAACCCGAAGGGAAAAGTAATTCCGTCGACACTCTAGACGACTATATTGTTCCTTCAAATTTAAGCAGTTACCTCTGAGCTGCGTGTTGTGGCTAAGTTTCAGCAAATGGCGGCATACGTGGTCGGGATCACTCAGTATCTGATACGCTAATATGAGGTCGCCGCGCAGCCTTCGATAGCGTCCGCTGAAAATTCCCAGCAACTTCAGCCTTCGGTGGTAAGAGTGATAGCGCAGGCCCTTTACATTCTTAGTTGCTCTTCGTTGTGGTGCCTCTATCGCTTCTAGGTCGCGGTTCAACCAAGGTTGCCAAGCTTGGATAGCGTATTCAACATGCGGGCGCACGTAGGAATTGTGGGTCTCTGATTCCAAACGACTCGATTCTTTTCAGTAGCCGCTTGTGGGACACTCTGTCGAATGCCTTTTCAGATCCAGGAACAGTATTATAACTGCATATTTGGAGTCAATGGCTTCTGTGATGTAATCCAGGTAGTGCGACTGACATATTGTACAGGAACCTTTATCGAGCAACCCATGTTGGGATTTGTTAAGCAGCTCATGATTCCACTTTTAACTAATTTTTCGAGTAATCTAGCGATGACGGGAGTAGATGTAAAGGCCGATAATTAGTGACGCGCTGTTTGGGCCCCCTTGATGACAAGGAACAACAAATGTGGTTTTTCACTGATCCGGAAAGTAGCTAGATCCTAAGGACAAGGTGAACATGTTCAGCAAAAGCAGTGGTATGTCAGTTCCACCGAGTTTAATAACTAATGGGGAGAAGCCATGGGAGTCTGGTTTGAGCGATTGTTTGATGGGCCTCGTACCCTGTTGGATGGTCGGAAGAGAAATCTCGAGATATATGATGCTTGTTGTAAGTTCAGGGTAGCAAGGTATAGGGTCGGTTTCTACATTCAAGGAAGCAGCGAAAAAGAGCTAAAGGATTTACACTAAGTTCTGTAATCAAAGACATTCAATCGTTAGTCTTATGACGGAGTAATTTAGTCAGTTCCTTTCCTTTACATGTCATCCGCATGGTGTTCTCCTCCTTTCCAATCCGTTTCATTTGTGAGCGCTTGATGCAGCCGATGGATTCGTGTAACTGTAATACGAGTGAGAAGTCTCTAGTTTTTCTGAATTTTCCGAGTAGTTTTCTAGTTTTCAAGTCACTCAGAGTGTCGCTTACATTCTTAAGACAAGGAATGGCGAGTTTATAATGTGGGACAAATACAGTTATGATGCGATTGCTCTTGTAGTATAACCGTTCCACTGCAATGTGGGCGTTAGTGGAAAGAAAAAAGCCATCCCAATTAGAGGACCGGATCAGCTTTCCGAAATGCTCCCAGTCAACCTGTCGAATAGTATGCTGAGTAGGCGAGTCGAGTTTGGTATTCATTTCCAAGTGGAAGGAAAAGCGTAGCATCTTGTGGTCATTACCCGGAAGGTTGTCTAAGATGTCAATTTGTGCGTGCCTAATACGCACCTAATCGCCGGTTGGCCTCCCGAGGACTCCATACAGCTAAATGCAGTGCGCAGAAACTACCCGCACCGAGAAGTTGGTTACGAAATTCAGGGGATACGAAAATAACGACTCACAGTGTGGTGCGACACTAAAAGGTTCATCGCTAAACAAAAATGCAGAAGAGACAGCATTGTTCAGTCTGCTATCCAGAAATAAATAAGCAGTGATATCTAAGTGTAAATAGCCAAGAGGGTCTCTCAAGGTCTACAGTGCAGACGGCCACGTCACTGATCCCTAAAGTAATGCCGCGTGGCAACACGGTCTGACCCAGAGTGAGTAAATGACAACATGTCTAAGTGGACGATTAAGCCACCGAGGAATAAAGAAGGGATTCGCTCGCTCCGAGTAATAAGAAGACGATCAAAGGAAATAGGCTGAGATAACAGTTAGGCTGAATGTAAAATCCACCATACAAAAGTCCAGACGTCCGCATGAATAACTGGAGACCGTTTCAACGAGCGTGAGAGAATAGGAGAGACCTAGAGTCGAACAAAAATGCATTCGGAAGCCAGGTGGATCCGTTAAATTGACAGATAACCTAGCAATGATAAATACGGTCGACAGCAGACGTACCCTTCGAAGGGTCCAAGGTGGTGAATTGGGCAGCAATGATGCTGATATAGGTACTGTGGTTTGCGAAAGGGTGTAAAAACCAATCGCTATTTAGCAACATAATGACTTTTGACAGTGAAACGTAAACCGTGCGTTTCCCAATATTGTCAAATGGTTCATAAAAGCATTTATTTCATAAGCAACTGCAAGACTGTAGGAAGAGGGCAGCCACCGTTAGCATCTTCCAAATGCGATCAGTAAGAGCATACACACAAGAGTACGAGGCACCATGTTGTGGGACGATGTCAATGAATTTTTATAGGACAGCCAACTCCAAGCACACGCACGATACCATTCAAGGAAATCAACCGACGAAAAGTGTTTGCACCTTTTGATGAGTGCATAACTGGCAATACAAACATCTCAAGTCATTGATTCAGCATCACCAGAGAGGCGGATCAGATAGATTAACGACAAGCCACCAACAATTAGTCTGGGCGTTTTCATCCCGAATACGTCATTCGGAGAAGTATCAGTCATAATCCAAAAGATACACTTAGTTGTTGCCCTTTGTTGCTCGACAAGACGTAGAATAAGTATAACGAATAACGTACTTATAAAAGATTCAAGCACACCATCAGGGCAGGCCGTGAAGCGATCAGTGGGTGTATGATGATGCGGCTTGGCAGAAGAGATGTGCAACTAGACTACAAAGAGAAACAGGGGAATCGAAAGCCGACGACGAGAGTTGTGGGGGATAATACTCTCCTGGTCTCCATACTAGGTGTGGGTTTCGTTCAGCGATTCATATCAAACGTTCGCGAACCAAGTGTCTGGATCACAGTGGTAAGATAAATGGAGGCTTGATTAGGGAAGCTTCACTCAGATGCCTTTATTTGACAATCAGAGCGGGAGAAAATCCGTAAACAATGCGTGCCTTAGCATAATGAGAAACATTACTCAAGAAGAAAAGGGGAGGTTTGCGCGAAATGTGCAGGCATAATTTAATGAGGAATGGGGAGGCATACCGAGTAGAACGGTGAGGTGTGGTGAGGTGTACGGCGAAGAATACGAAATATCGCACCGAGGTTAGTGAAATCGTTGACTTGTCATGGAATCCATGCCAATTGGCATGTGGACCGCAGGCAGAATGAAGAGTTCCAACACTAGCGAGGAAAAAATATCGTATGAATTGCTCCTTGAGTGCAATCAAAGAGAAAGGGATGGCTTCTGAGGTCAGCCACCTAGTCCTGGAAGATATGGAAACCGCAGAGGATGACAATTGCGGGCACGGTCGCACATAGATGAGATACGACCAGCTTGTACATTAACGGCCAGTGGAGACCTCGTTCCAGACGGACGGCTATGAACCAGTAGGCAGATGTGGTTCCCTCCTAACCCGTGACGCACATGCTCCAGGCTAATCGAGCTGAATAAGTAACACGTAAACTGTTATCAGGCCTGGCCCGGTTTGTCTAGACTCTAAGTACTGGCACTTGTGACTGATTCACAATGTGGGCTAACGAATAATATCCGTACGCAAATCATGGTGTCCCGTATAGGCCTAGTCCAGATCACACCGTGCACCGCGGCATGATCAATCCAGATACCCTAAAACACAATGGGAATACAACAACAGTGGTAATAATAATTCTAGGGAAATGAACAAGGAATAAAATCATAAATTAGGGCTGTTGAGGGTCAGAAGTAGGTGGAAGAATGTAAATGTATCAATGAATTCGGGAAAGTGCGATGTCCGAGATATCACCCAGCCATTTACGTGGCCGATCCCAAGGTTTTGAGTAAGGAAGGTGACGAATTTCGTACTCTACGTTGCAATGTCATTGATTGGTCACCACAGGATTTCACCAAAATAGATGCAACAGAAGGTTCGCTGGCGTGCGAAGTATACGGCAGTGATTCGAGATCAAAAGAAACTCTAGTAGGGCATCATACGGACTAATGCCAAACACAAAGCAACGAATACTTTGGTGGTAACCACTCTGTTCTATCGACAGAGATGAGTAACACTGTTCAGACCTCGGTTGCCTTACACGATCAGAATCCGCAGATCTCCGAACATCACCTCTACCTGCATCCAAACCCCGGTGGCGCAAACAACGCAAGACGCGAGAGTTGGTGTGCTGGCACGCGTAACACGTAATCCAGCTAATGGAGCATGGTACGTGATAGAATGATGCAGAGCATTTCAATCGCTCTACTTGCACCAAATACGAGACGCTGAACATACTCATTGCTTAGATGTTCCTATCAAACATGACCTAAAGTGCGAAGACTGCGATGGTCGAACATAAGTTATATCCATAAGTAGCCACTTTATGCCTGCCGACCTAATGGGCCATGTTTCACAACCGCACGGGTATCAGTGAAATATATCTCACCACAATGAGTCACAAGACTAGAGGCTGTTGAAATGAACGTTAAAGTCCAGTCTCGGCGCAACAGATACAAGGGTAGCTGGACATAAAGAATAGGGCGTCAAGGTTCTCAAACTCCGCAAATAAGGTAAATTGGTTCTTGCTGTTACCGAGACCGTGAAATGCCTAAGTGAGAAATATTGCTTAAGTTCTCTACGGGTCCACCCTAGTCAACTGCGGTAAGATGGGGGAGAGCAGCAATGGTTTACGGCAAAATACATCTACCGGTGGCGTTGCAGAACATGATGAACGGCGCATAGGGCGTCATCGTCCGAGTAAAGTGTGAAAGAACACAGAAAGCAAGTGGAACAGAAAATTCGGAAAAACATACGTTAGTGTAATCGAATCCGCTGTTGGTAAGTATAAACACCTTGGCTCCATTGCTCCGCAAACTAACCAGAAAAAAGGAGGGAAATCTAGCTGATTATATAATCGTCACATGAAATACGCAGTTGTAGGATGCAATAGTAGGAGCAGTGACAGTGATGGGATGCAGAAAATAGAAGTTGAGATAGAAATCTGGAAAAGCAGCAAAAATTAGCGTAACCGGACTATTGACGCACAGAGGTATGCGAGTCATTGAAGCAGAGTAGGCAATAATGGGCCAGAGTGCTGGTAATCATAATCTGTTAAGCTGAACGTTGATTTTGATATCAAACTGAATATGACTGTCACAATAACCCTGCGTAGATAGACTGACTGCGCGAAAAATGTATAGCTGATCTCCATCAAAGCAAAACGGAAGACGTTATGCTAAAGCGCGGTCTTTAAATCGGCCGTATCGTTTTCACCGAACATCGTTTTTACAATATCGCTATGGATACATTAGATTTCTCAGAATACCTCAACATTGATTGTTGTTAAACTATTTCTAAGGCCAACACTGCTGTACTTCACCTATCTTTTGAGAACAACTTAAGATACCGCGCACTGGAAGATGGACCTACTCAATGCAAAATCTAACTTGCCACACTGGCTTCCCAACAAAAGGCAGCTTTAGATTATGCTAACCGGAAAGGTTTATCTGTTTGCTCCTTCATACTGACCGTTTACTCAACTGACAGTTTTACAGTGTCCTTTTTGCAATAGAACAAATTTAAAGTTCTGATAAAGTAATTTTAACTAATCCGTAGTCGATATTGTGAAGTGCTGAAAACGTATCCGTCTGGATACATAAAGCTAATTTTAGCTTGAACTTTGACGCTAGATCCAATGGAACAAGGCTTCAAGTTAAAACGTCCAAAATTGGGAGAGAAACCAAGGAACATTGACTACAAGACGAAGACGCTGTTGACTACGACAAACATCATGATGGCTCTAATCCAAGAGGAATATGAAAACCCCAACCCGGAGGCAACCATTAACTGTAGCGTACAGAGTTGAATAATGTGCTCAAACCGATCACCAGTGAATCACGACCAGTCATCCTATTTCGCTCCAAAATAACCAGTCAGTGGCGCATTACAATGGCTCCATCCAGAAAGTCCAGTTTAGGATGTGGTGTTCACATACCATGAAATTGGTAAGCAAGTGAAAGCAAGCCTCTATGCTGCTTCAAACAAACCAATAAGCGCCCACCGAATCCCCCAACTGTTCGGTCGCACAAATTGAAGAGAACAAGCAGCTCCAAATCCATTCTCTATAAGGTATTGGAAACACTTCCAATCCACGTTCAGCTCATTCATCTCGTTTAGTAATGACAGTTGGTATTCAATTCAAGCTGTCAGTGTTGCTCTGCGAGCTGAGTTCAGCTGGCGAGTAAAGGGCCTGAAAGAGATCAAATTCACACTCAATGAAAGCTAGGCAAAGGGAGAGATAAGTACTGTCCCTAAAGCCTGCTCTATTCAGAGCAAAACAGCAAAGAGGATGGCTAAACCCACGACACAAAAGCCACGTAGATAGTTGCGGAAATGATTTTACAACGATCCTCGCCAGTGCGCGTTTGTAAGCCGCAGGGCTCGCCACTCAAAACCGCAGTAAATTTCGCAGTTCGGAAACACGAAAGTTGGTGCACATGGTTGCAAACGACCCACGGTCAAACAGGTTGTGACAGAAATGAACGGAATGTAGTGAAGCAAAAAGAGCTGATCCCACTGCGGAGCAGCTGTGCACTCGGAAACTTACCTTAGACGGAGCAACATCAAGATGAAAAAGTATCCTAACAGAATGAACTTCGAGGGAACTTACCGATCAAGCAGAGTGCATAGACGATTGTCCTGATCCAGATAACGATGCAAATCAGCCAAAGTACGCCGTTTCAGCTCACCCTAAAAAAGATAGGCGAAGCCATTGAACCAGGGGGAAATGCAACAATGAGATTTTAAAAAGTATACGCCTCATAGGAAAAGTGCACGTCTGCGCAAACTGATTACGGTGCAGGAAAACGCCTTCACGATAATGCTGGTTTTAAGAGACTCCAAAGTAAAAGCAAGAGTCATTTGCCAAGGTGCAGTAATCCCAGGTCAATCGGCACATGCAGTTACAGTGAAAATAGCTCAAATTGATTAGAGTAAGAGGGAAAAACAAGTAAAGGTAAAGTGGATGACGTCAATAAAACTGCAAAAGTCGGACGCAAGTGAAAAGGAAGCGCAAGAGACCGGAAGCAACAGAGTAAATCTCCGAGTTCTATGTAAATTATAGGGGGAATACAAACAACAACCCAGAGGAAGGTAAATCAGATTTGAGCTGAAAAGTCGTATAGAGGAACTAAGAAAAATTATCATGTCCGAGAATCCTCACCATCAATACACACTAGCGGGGGGGGGGGAGAAACACACTTCAGCTAATAAGCTGCAAAACAATAAATGAAATACTAAAAAATGACAAAGAAAAATGATTCCAATATGATGGAAATTGGGTGTTGCCCGCCCGAAAACATTGCACCAAGGTTCACTTCAATGTGAATCGCGGTCTACATTGAGACTGCGCGTCGCAATCCAATCACACAATGCATAATCCAAATTTGACCCTCCAAGTAATATGATGTTGAATATTATGTTATGCGTTTCGTATGAGATCGGAATTGGAGAGGGAATCTAAAGGGGAGGGGGATGGACAAAGAAACCCACAACACAAACGCCATTGGGGCCGGCTCATAACAGTATCAGTAAGTGTGACCAACCAAATGTGTTCATCATCCTCAGGACCCCAGCCAGGCAGTTGGGATGCACCAACCTACGCCAACTTCGAAGTGAAGATTTTCATTTCTCTAGACCAAGTCATCGCTCGGTCTGCTCCCCTCTCCGCCCAACCACACCCACGGCGCGCAAACAACGCACGAAGCGGGATTCGGTGCGCAGACATGTACAACGCGTGGCCCAGCCATCGGAACCTGATGCTTGATATAATAGCGCTGCGCGGTTCACTCGCTCTTCCTGCACCAAATACAGGACGCCGAATACATTCATTGCTTAGGCGATGTTCCCACCAGACATGAGCTAAGCTGCGAAGGCAGCGATGGTCGAACGTAACTACCCTTTTTATATCTCTCGACCGAATGGGTCAGGTTTCAATACGGTATAGGAGGGTTGTACGGACGGCTGCATTGTAAACATTGCCCTTCAGGAAGAGAGTGGTTTCTCGTCGGCCCCATAGGTGGCGGAGTTTGGTAAAACATCTCGAGCTTTTTACGGTTCGTAACCTCATCTTCGATCCCCCGGACGCTAACATAGTGTTACGTCAGACCAAAGTCAAACGCGCACAGAAACGAAACAAATCAACTTCTTCGGGAAGGTAAGTGCGCAATTTCCCCAAGTAACCGTGTGCCTTGCATCAGAACAGTCTCAATTACAGGCAGACTAGAGTTTCTCTGTGTTGCAGAACATTTGTTACTACCGCTGGTTTCATACCACTCACACGTCCCGTGATTCTTGAGAGATCGATAAATTCAATTTAGCACTCAGCCATGATTTGAACTGTAATCAGAGTGTTTTCACACCCACATCGGCCCGTGCAGAGTTTCGCAAATATACTTCTCATCCGGTGCGTTGTCTTTTGACTTGCGTGGTGCAATCTAAGAAGCTACTAAGTCGAACCCCTGGGGACACAACAGATTCTGGCGACGGAGGTGCTGCTCAATAATGTCCATTTCATTTGAACAGATGCAGCAGCTTCTCCATCAGCAGCAGCTCCAGTTCGAGAAATCCCAGAGGCAATTGATCGAGTTATTTGCGCAGAAGTTGAACGTTCGATCTGAGCCCCAACCTACTGACACACGATTTTCAGTAGACGCGGTCAAGACAGCAATCGCAGAGTTCGTTTTCGATGAACCAAACGGAGTAACTTTTGATTCCTGGTTCAAGACATATGAAGATATTTTCCGTGTTGAGTTGGCGGCGCAAGATGATGCATGGAAAGTTCGGTTGTTGCTGCGTAAACTTGGTGCAGTTTAGCATGAACGCTATACCAGTTTTGTGTTGCCAAAGAACCCTAAAGATTTCCGCTTCGATGAGACTGTGCAAATGCTGACATCCATTTTCGATGAACAAGCATCTTTGTTTAATATCCGTTATAATTGTTTAAAGTTTCTCAAACGTGATAGCCATGATTTTATAACACATGCTAGAGTTGTGAACCGAGCGTGCGAACGTTTTAAACTCGGTACGATGACATCTGATCAGCTCAAAAGTCTCATATTTGTTTGCAGTCTTCAGTCTCATGCCGATTCTGGTGTGCGCACACGCATCCTACACAAGTTAGAGCAGGAACCCCATTTGACATTACAGGACATTGATGCTGAATGCCAGAGAATGATTAACTTAAAGCATGATACCAAAAGATTGAAAATGCTGACCCCAGGAGTGAACCACAGATTTACCGCACGGCTGTTCGAGGTAAAAAGGTGAACCATAGTGTACCTACCCAGAAACCCACGACTGCATGCTGGAACTGTGGTGGATGGCATTTTGTGCGATTCTGTACTTACAGGAAACATCTCTGTCAGAAGTGTAAACGTCTCGGTCACAAAGAATCACACTGTCGCAAAACGTACGTTTCCAGGCCTGTGTCTACCCCACACTTGTACACGAACTCTAAATCCAAAAGGACGTCGTTTCAGGGAGCAAAGACAAAAGTAGTTCTCGTGACCCGTCGCACAGAAGTTGCGGGCAAACGAAAGTACATCACCGCCAAAATTAACAATGTTCCCATAACCTTGCAAATAGATACGGCATCGGAGATTACCATCATTTCTCGATCATCATAGATGAGACTTGGCAAACCTCCACTGAGACGCACAATCTGACTGCCCAAAATGCATCTGGCGAACCACTAAGGTTTGATGGTGAGTTCATATGTGACATAAAATTTAAAGATCTGAGCCTCCTTGGAAGTATATACTTAGGTTCTTCTGTCAACATTAACCTTCTTGGCAATGATTGGATTGATAGATTGAATTTGCTCAATGTACTATTGAATAATGTGTGTTCTGGAACGAACCTCAGGGTGCATCACACAGCCATACCACCTATGCCAAGTAAAACCATTGCTAAACAGTTTCAGGGGAACAACATGTAGGCGAAGCTTACTCTGTTACCTTGTGCTACACCAGTGTTTCGACCCAGGCGCCCGGTCCCGTATGCATCACCTTGTACGGATTCGGATATGGAAGCCCAGTACAACAGACGGTACCAGAGCACGGTGCAGAAATTTCAGAGTTGGAAACGCAGTGTTTGCTGACTCTTATCAAGTGCATCGAATAAACTGGATACCAGGTCAAGTCGTGGAACGACGTCGCAAAGTAAGGTACGATGTTCGCGTTGGCAGGCAAATATGGGTTCGTCACGCCAACCAATTGCGCCCGCGGTTTGCAAGGATCCCAGAGACACGCGATGCCAAACGATTTGATTTCAATGAATTGTTACGCACTTTGCACCCAAGCACCTCGACCGGACAGGATACGCAACTCGTGGAACGGACTGGAAATGAACACCCTCTAAGGCCACAACGGGTAAGAAGATGCGTGTAACCCTTTCAGGTCGATCCCCGAAGGAAAAGCTATATAACTACCGGTCTAACTATTTCAAAAAGAGGGAGGTGTTAGGTCAGACCAAAGTCAAACGCGCACAAAAACGAAACAAATCAACTTCTTCGGGAAGGTAAGTGCGCAATTCACCTAAGTAACCGTGTGCCTCGTATCAGAACAGTCTCAGTTACAAGCAGACTAGAGTTTCTCTGTGTTGCAGAACATTTGTTACTACCGCTGGTTTCATACCACTCACACGTCCCGTGATTCTTGAGAAATCGATAAATTCAATTTAGCACTCAGCCATGATTTGAACTGTAATCAGAGTGTTTTCATACCCACGTCGGCCCGTGCAGTGTTTCGCAAATATACTTCTCATCCGGTGCGTTGTCTTTTGACTCGCGTGGCGCAATCTAAGAAGCTGCTAAGTCGAACCCCTGGGAACACAACACAGCTGGCTAGGTACTAGAAATTCTGAACGACTTCTAGTTGATTCCCACAAAGAGCCAGTGCAGGGGTGTCTCTGCCTATCTTTGAGGAGTACTTCACATTTCGAGGGAGCAAAGCAAAGCCCAAAACGACTGACAGACAGTGCCAGTCTGTCCAGTGCTGCTTGACACATTTGTGAGTTGACAATGATTAGGGCAATGTCGGCAGACTCCAAGACAAGAAGTCGCACACCAGAAAGCAGCTCCACAGCTTCTAGGTGGTGTCTAGTGAACGGTGTTTCCATGATTTCGTCAATAGCGAAGTTAAAGAGGAAAGGTGACAGCGGGCAATTTCGTCCCACACCGCTGGTGATACTGAAGAGTGGCGACAGTTTGCCATACACCCTCACTCTGCCCGAACTACGTGCGTACAGCGCTCTGATAATGTATATCGGGCACACCTTTCCTCAGCAGACTGTCTCGAAGGACACATCGACCAACCGAATCGAACGTACCTTTTATGTCAAGAAACACGACAACGGTGGGTTGCCAATAAACATGGCGGTGATCCAATAATTGACGCCAAGTGCAGGCGTGGTCGATACATCCCTGGCCTCGACGAAATCCGACTCGCTCTTCACGAATCTGGCTTTCACGAGTGCCAGTCAGTCTGTAGAGAATGAAGATGCAAACAATTTGGAAGCAACTGAGATCAGACTGATTCCTCTATGATTGTCACATTAAGAACGGAAGCCTCCCTTGAAAATTAGGAATATGACGGAGTGGCTGCAGTCTGTTGGGACATTTTTTGCTCCCAAAGTTTCACTAACAACTTGTGTAAATCCCCACAAGAGCAAATCCTCGGAATTTGAAGAGG